CAGAGACCTACAGACAAACATTAGGCCGAGCTTGGGGAATCCTGTTGAAGAAAGGAAGCAAAGATTGTAGGAGCCAAAGGGATAGAGGACATCCCAAGAAAACCCACAGAAACAACTAACCTGGGCTCATAGGAAGTCACAGAGTCTGAACCAACAACCAGGGAGCCTGCATGGGACTGATCTAGGCCCTCTATATACATGTGACAGTTGTGTAGCTTGGTCCTCTTGTGTGACTCCTAACAGTGAGAACAGGGGCTGTCTCTGACTCTTTTACTGGCTACTGGGACCCTACTCCTCATATTGGGTCACCTTGCCCAGCTTTAATACAAGGGGGTGCTTAGTCTTACTCCAACTTGATATGCTGTGCTTTATTGATACCCATGGGAGGCCTGCCCCTTTCTGAACAGAAACAGAGGAGGAGTGGATTGGGGGGGGGCATGGCAGAGGAGAGGTATGGGGAGGGAATGAGAGGAGAGAAAGGAGGGGAAACTGGAGTAAAGATAAATAAAATTAAAAAAAAGATGTGAAAAAACAACAACAACAAAAAAAAACCTTGTTGTTTTGTTTTATTGAGACAAGGTCACAGTACATTAGCCAACGTAGCCAGGACATCTTTTGTTTGTTTAATTTTTATTTACTTTTGGGGGATGAAGAGATGGCTGCTCTTCTAGAGGACCTGGGTTTAATTCCCAGCAACCACATGGTGGCTCACAGAGCACTTGTACCATATATATGTGAAAGAGAAAAAAATATTTACTTTTATTTTATATGTTTGAGTGTTTTGCCTGCATGTATGTCTGTATATCTTGTGTTAACATGGTGGCCATGGAGTCCAGAAGAAGGAGTCATATCACCTAGAACTGGAGTTATAGCCAGTTGTGGGTTGTCATAGGGGTGCTGGGAATCAAACCCTGGTTTTCCGCAAGAGCAGAAAGTGCTTTTATCCACTGGGCCATCTCTTCTTCAGCCCCCCTAGCCAAGAACTCTTGAATTCAAATGGTCCTCTGCCTCAGCCCACTGAGCCGTCAGGAAGCAAAAATTTTCAAGTTTGTCTTCAAAGAGTAATATGTGTAAACCCAAGCCTGGACCTGAAACTAAACCATGAGGCTTGGCCCAGCTGTGAAGATTAAAAGGCACAGGATCAGTGACCAGATCACTATACTGGTGTTCCAAGTACTCAATTTTCTGTAGTCACCAAAATCACCCACATAAATTCGATTAACACAGCGATAGAAAAGTATACTTAGGAGGCACTTGGGTGTCGAGGAACCTGCTTTCAGCGTGTTACAAAGACAAATGAGAATTCACCAAGGACTGAGTATTGGATAGAAATGTAAATTTTGCCACGATTTGGGAGGGAACACCATGTCAGCATCCATCCCTGCACTGGTAAGACTCTGAGAAATGGTGCTCTCAACCTCACCTGTCAAAGTGATGCTCTGTTGCACAAGTACAGGGGATTCCAGCCAGTCTGGACCACTCTGCACGTTACCTAGGAAACCATTCTTTGTTTTTTGCTCCAGCTAGAAGAAAGAGGGTGAGTGGAGAACTGCCTCCGAATCCTCTAGTAATGCCTGTTCTGTGGCTCCACAGGCCTCACTGCTTGCCTGTCTTCTAACCCCTGCTCCAGTTTGATCTGGATCTGCACGGTCTGACCCACTGCCCAGACACACACAAAGCATTATGGGTAAAGCCTCCGAGGGTTTGGTTTTCCTCTGTGCTGCTTGCTGCATTGTGCTTGGGGTGTGTGTGTGTGTGTGTGTGTGTGTGTGTGTGTGTGTGTGTGTGTGTGTGGTGTGCTTCGAGCCAATGTTTAAAAATCAGGTTGTCGCTCATAAAAACCTCTATCTGCTGCCGTTTCCTCTGGAAACCTGAAGTACCTGGTCGTACTGAAGCTGTATCTCCCCATGAGGTAATCTGCCAGAGCGGAGCAGCTCTAGACTTCTTCCCCGGGGCACCGGATTCCATTAGGGAGACTGCCAGGGACCGTGCCCTTCCCAACACTGAGCATGCGTTTCCATCCACCAGCACAGCACTCCCATTCCTGTGTCGTCCCATGACAAAGGAAGTGTTCTCTTCTCCCGCGTCTGGATGAGAAGTGGGAAAACAAGGCAGGTGATGAGAAGGTTCAGGAGACCCAGGCTCGGTAGCACAGGGCTATAATCTCCTCCGCCACTCAGAGGAGGATGAGTTCAAGGCCAGCTTGGACAACTTACTGAGAACCTGTCTCCAAAAAGTAGAAAAGCAGGTTAGGGACACAGCTCGGTGACAGAATGCCTGCCTGGCATGTACAAAGCCCTGGGTTCAATCCATAGCACTGAAATAAACAGGATAGGTAGGTGGGTGGGTGGGTAGGTGGGTTGGTGGGTGGACGGATGGACGGACGGACGGACAGACAGACAGACAGATGAATGTCATATAAAGCCAGGCATGGGAATCTCAGCATTTAGGAGGCCAAGGAAAGAAATTTGCAATGAGTTCGAGGCTAACCTGACCTGCATAGTAAATACCAGGCCAGCAGGGCTATGTAGTGAGACTCTGTTTAAAGGGAAAAGAGGTAATCCTCGGAGTGAGGATACAGCGGAAGCTAACTGCTGAGAAGCGACCCTGCTCATTCCCTCCTTGACATTTCCCCATTTCTGCTCCCTACAGCTTTGCAACCCCGAGTCTGGCCTCTAGGTGTCTGTGTTCTTGGAGTGTGTGCTGCACTCAGGCTTCCCTCCCAGACCTAGCTTGCTGCCTCCTTAATCGACCTGCCATGCCTCTGGAAGTTAAGGTTCTGGGTGGCTCTTAACTGCTTCTCCAAATGGGCCTGCCTCATTCTCTCCATCAATCCTGATTTCTGACTTCTACACATGGACCATCATGTCTGTGTCTACTTCAATAGCAAGTGCTGTCTGTACACTCTGTGATTCTTCACAGAAAGGCTTCAGAACACCCTGGCTCAGTTACTCCCTATCCATTCCGTATTCCTTAGAGCTGGTAGAACCGTGAACTAATTTAGCCAATTACCTTTAGGAAAAAAAGAAGACATGCCGTGGTCATCGGCCAGTGATGCTGAAAGCCTGTTCGGTCAGCGCCCAGCACCAGGCCCACCATGCTTTGCTCACCTCGGCTGCAGTTTCTCTACCTTGTCTGGATGAGGGAAAAGCTCCCCTCCACTCTCTCCAGCCTCCTTTACCAGAATCGATCACTTACAAATCAGAGATTTGGGCTGGGTGGGCTGGTGCATGACTATAATCCCAATGCACAGCAGCAGGAGGTTCCGGAGTTCTAGGCCAACACCAGCGACCTGAGTCCTTGTCTCTAAAGAGAGCAGAGGCAGGAGGGTCTGGAGTTCAAGGCTTGGCTGTGGAGGGACTTCTGCACGGGGGCCATATGAGCCTGAAGGGGAAGAAGATGGCAGGCTTTGGTTTGGTGATGTTTTAAGGCAGCAGCTCATCATAAGTACTAGCCTTGAACCCATGATCCTCCCTCTTCATCTCCATAGCTTGGAAACAGATGTGAACCAAGCATGCCCCAGTAGAATAAATATTGTATGCTTTGGGAGTCATTGAGATGGCTCAGTGGGGAAGGACTCTTGCTACCAAACCTGATTTGACCTGAGTTTGATCCTCAGAATTTACATGAGAAAACTAACTCCAGCCGGGCGGTAGTGGCGCACGCCTTTAATCCCAGCACTCGGGAGGCAGAGGCAGGCGGATCTCTGTGAGTTCGAGGCCAGCCTGGTCTACAGAGTGAGATCCAGGACAGGCACAAAGCTACACAGAGAAACCCTGTCTCGAAAAACAAAAAAAAAAAAGAGAGAGAGAGAGAGAGAAAACTAACTCCAACAAGTTTCCTCTGGCCACCGTGAGTGTACTGTGGTATACACACACACACACACACACACACACACACACACACACACACACACACACAGTAAACAAACAGATCTTTTAATTTGCTTTAAATGTATTTTATTTGTATGAGTGTTTTGTTTACCTGTATGCCTGTGTACCACATGTGTGCCTGGTACCAGTGGGGGTGAGGAGAGGACGTTAGATCCTCTGGAACTGGAGTTACGGATGGTTGAGAGCTGTCATGTGAGTGCTGGGAATCGAACCTGGGCCCTCGGCAAGAGCAAAATATGTTCCCAACCACTGAGCCACCTCACCAACTCCTGACACCCCTTTTTAACAAAAGGAAAGAGATTAGGCACAGTAGCACAAGCCTTTAATTCTCAGGAGGCAGAGGCATGCGGATCTCGGAGTTTGAGGCCAGTTTAGTCTACACAGAAAGTTCCAGACCAACCAGGGCTACATAGTAAGACCCTGTCTCAAAAATCAAACAAAACAGAAGAAAAAAAAAATGTGGGCATTTAAAGCACTGACCTGCTGCACTGGAGAAGAAATGGAGGAAACAGACCTGATGTGGACAGGGTGCCACTCCACTTCCCCTCCACTCTGTGCCTCCAAGCCCTAGTGTCCCCGAACTACAGAAAGGGACACTAGATATCACCCAGAGTCTGATCACCCCAGAAGTAGCTTGCTTCATACTGACTCATCCTGGGGGCCTGGGGACAAAATTCACTGGCATCAGCACCAGAGGTCTCTGCCAGGCTATGGGACTGCTGTCAAGAGACAGGTGGGCAGCTCTGGCCTCTCATTAGGGCAGGAGTGTGGGAAAGCCCTGATGGTCAGCAGAAGCCTGCTGAAGCCCATGGTCAGGGCCCCTAGAAAAGAAAGAGGCCTTGCCTGGAGGCCGGGCTGGATTAGTTTAGGCCCCTGGCCCAGATGTGTAGGACAGACCGGTTCTGATCTGTATTGGCTTGGCTAGCCTCTTGGCTTGGCTGAGATGAACCGGGGAGCTGGCATCTGGGTTCGTCCTGTGGCCCAGAGAAGAGCCAAGTTTGCACCTTATGAACTCCACCAAAGAGGAAGCCCCAGCCAGTGCCCGGGAGCAGCCCCGGCGGCTGCGCCACCTACCCGCACTGAAGGAAGTGCTGACTCTCTCCACAGGGCCAGGATGACCCGGCGATGAGAACCAAGTGGAGCTCCTCACCACCACCTCTCCTCCGGCCTCCTCCCTTCCTCTTCCCATCTCTGCGCCCAGCGATGGAGGGACTGGATCACAGGATCTTCCCTGTGCAGACATGTAAGTATGCCTCCCTCCCCCAACACGCACACACCGGGCACAGCCCCCACCTACCAAGCGGGGCTCAGGCCTGTGATATCCGCTTAGCAAACTCACAGAACCTGCCTCGGCGCCTCTTCCCATTCAGAGTGATAATCAGTGCCCGCTCTCATTTTCGTTAACACACATCATCATAGCGGGCCAGGGTTGCAGGGTTTTCTGAGCCTACTTCCTCCTAAAACATCAGTCTGTGGTCAATCAAACTCTGCAGATGACAGTTTCCCCTTCCGACTTGGCTGGCGCTCTAAGCCCCCAGGGTTTGGTAGGGTTCCTCCAGGAATGTGATCACAAGAAAGCCTTAAATAAATGAAGTGCAAGTTTCCCCAAGATCCCGATTCTGTGAGTCCACCATTCCCTCACGGATTTCTAAACCCGCTTGGTGACGTACCGGAAACCAGCACACTCACTGGCGGCAGCCTCTCTTCCCCTCCAAATCAAAAGTCAAAACAGCCTCGTCTTTGCTGCAGTGTTCCAGTGTTTGTAGAAGTCACCCTGTGGGCATGGCTTAGGTGTGGGTTCAGTTGCCTGCTAAGTGCCAGGGTAGGCCAGGCGGGAGGTGGATTCACCTGGCCTTGCAGTTTGAGGCAAACAGTGACCCTGTGAGATGTCTTTTTCCTCCATGGACACTCTTCCTAGTCTGTAGGTGGCACTAAAGGTAATGTGGCTGGAAGATGTCTGTGTGTAAAAGAAGCTCTCAGGAAATGGCAGCTGCAGTTGTTGATGCTGTAAACCAGAATTGGGCCTAGAGTATTCGGAAGTACTATTGTGGCCTAAAAGAATAGGAAGGTCCTGTGGGCTGAGACCTGCGGGCTCCTCGGAGGGGCGGCTCCCTGGTTGCTAATAAGCCCGATGAAGGCAGGAAGGCTGATGTCTTCAGATACTCACTCGGCCTGTGAAGGACCGTGAAATGGTAAGATCTGCATCTCAGAACACAGGCTTAAGGACTGAGGAGGAGGGAAAGTCAGGTGGAAAGTGATGCCTGGTGTGAACTGAGGTAGAGGCTTGGCCCGCAGAGTGGACTGGCCAGGGGAGCTTGTCACAGGCCTCCTCTGCTTGTGCTGGGTGACAGGATTTCTGATCGGAGACAGTCCGGGGGCCGTGACCTCAGAACCGGAAAATAAGATCATTCATTCAGAGTGTATTTTAAATTGGATCCTTGTAGAGTCACAGAGTTTACAAGAACCATTTCTTTGTCCTTTGCTGTTCTTGTCATGTGTTTTAAAACGCTGGTGCCAAGCACTGTGCCAGGAGAGAGGCCCCGGAGGGACATTTACCTGGTAGAAGAAAGGAAGAATGGCATGCACCAAAGAACACCGAGCTATCTCCTTCCTGAATAAATCAGCTCCTTGTCCCGGAATTTAGCTGTGACTAGCATTTGAAAATGCTGGAGCCTTCCCTAAAGAAAGGAAGCGTTTCCAGACTCCACTGATTCTGACAATGGCTGTATCAGTGATCCCACTGTGTAGCATTAGTAAGTTAAGACTTAGCATTTTGGTTTTGGGAAAAACAAGGTTGCCACTGTTAGAGTTTATTAAGAATGCCACTTAAAAGCACTTTTTTTTATAACCATATCTTTTTTTTGTTTTTTGTTTGTTTGTTTTGTTTTGTTTTGTTTTTCGAGACAAGGTTTCTCTGTGTAGCTTTGGAGCCTGTCCTGGAACTCACTCTGTAGCCCAGGCTGGGCTCGAACTCACGGAGATCCTCCTGCCTCTGCCTCCCAAGTGCTGGGATTAAAGGCATACGCCACCACTGGCCGGCCATTGTTTTTGTTTTTGATTTTGATTTTTGAGACAGGGTTTCTCTGTGTAGCTTTGGAGCCTGTCCTGGAACTCACAGAGATTTGCCTGCCTCTGCCTCCCAAGTGCTGGGATTAAAGGTGTGTGCCACCACTGCCTGACAATATCTAGACTTTTTTTTTTTTTTTTTTGAGACAGGGTTTCTCTGTGTAGCTTTGTGCCTTTCCTGGAACTCACTCTGTAGCCCAGGGCTGGCCTTGAACTCATGGAGATCCGCCGGCCTCCCGAGTGCTGGGATGAAAGAAGGCGTGCGCCACCACCATCCGGCTGTTTTTGAGTTTTAGACACAGTGTCTCAATATGTAGCTCTAGATTACCTCGGACTCACTATGTAGATTACCTGGGACCAGGCTGGCCTTAATTTCCTGCCTGCCTCTATTTCCTGTGTGCTAGGATCAAAGGCATATACCCCACCCCCAACCCGACCCCCCACCCCTGACTAGGATAAAGCTTCAAAGTTGGTGCTAGTGTGGACTGAGTGAGAGAGGTCATGGTAACCAAGGAATGGCTAAGTTACTTGGGAACAGAAAGTGTGTCACAGGTAGTGTGTGAGAGCTATTAGCATAGGGTGTATGGAGAACGACGTGCGTGCGTGCGGCTGTGCGGTGAGGGTCGGGGGAAGAGGGAATGGGGTGTGTAGATTCAGATTTGCAGAATGGAAGAAGGGTACAGCACCACATACGAATGGACCTCTCTCCACTGTGCATCTGGAAATGGTCAAGTTGAGGAAGGAGTGGGGTGAACACAGAAACTGGAATCAGAACACACTGAGTGCCTTGGAGCCGCCTAACATTATTGACAGGAGGTGAGGGACACATTTCTAATATAAAAGGCCTCTGCTCTCATGCAGTGTTTAATTATCCTTTGTGAAAAGACTTACAAGCTTTAAAAAAAAAAAAAAATGACCCGTGACTGTGGGACCATGCAGCCAGCCCCAGGAAGCCTACTGCAAGGTCCAGTAGGCTCCCTGCCGAGCCTGACTGCAACAGGAAAGGCTGTTCGGTGTCCCAAGCTTCAAGACAGCCTATGTCATCCTTGTCCACCTGCAGCCGAGTCCGTTCCTGCAGGATGCTCTCGGGACAGCCCAGAGCTGTGTTCATCACACAGGGTTGCATTTTACCTGCGGCCAACTATTTAAAGTATTATTTTCTATACGATTAAGGCATAGATGTACACACATTGTTTGGATACTACACTCTGTGTGTACTAGAGCCAGACACCAGAGGGAGAAGGGTCCTGAGACACCAAGGAAAGGGACTGCTAGGTCCAGACTGCACAAATGGCATTTTATTAGAGACTTAGGGGCAGAGGATGTTTTGGGTAGCACCAAGGCAAGAGGATCCTGCCCTTTAAAACAGGAGGAAGGTACCTCCCATGCTGAGCCGGGCAAAGGTGGGCGTGGTCAACAGGAATGTACTACCCTTTCTCAAAATATCAGTTAAAAACAATCTGAGCATCAGTGGCTGGTACGCCATGCTTGACTGACTGTCCTAATAACTTTGTTTGTTATAGAGCTTGGAATATCTGCCAGGACTTCCCAGTAGGCAAACTGAGCCAAGATGGCTGTAGTCACGTTGAGCTGCACCACCCTCCACGCCCACACACGCCCCACCCCCCACCGCACACATACCATTTTCCTAGAGTAAACTGAGAACCCTGCTGCTCCATCCACACATTGAACATTGGACACTGGAAATGGGTCCACAGGAGTCAAGCATCCAGAGTCACATGACTCGTGAGGTAAGGACTTGAGACCTTTCTCACTTCCCCAGCCTGCAAAAGCCCATGCTCTGAACCAGGAAGCCATGCTGGAGCAGAATGGAGACTGCATAAAACCGAGATTCCAAGACTGCATGTAGACAGATTCAGGGCATATCCAAGCAGTAGGATCTTGGGTCTCTCAGTTCATCAACTTCCTAAGTCCCTACTTAGCAACAACCAAAGAATAGTTGACATACACTGATTTAGCACAGAATTTAGTTGTTACTAAGCTGAACTCATGAGATATTTTAACTCAGATCTCAAATTTGGTTTATTTATGTGTAGACAAGGTTCTTGCTTACTGTGTAGTCATGACCAGGTTAGAACTCATGATCTTTTGGTCTCAGTCTCCAAGTACTAGGATTATAGGTGTTGAACACCACATCTGGCTTCAAAAGTCTTCTGTTTTCCAAGAAAGATTTATTTGCTGGGTGGTGAGTGGTGCACGCCTTTAATCCCAGCACCCAGGAGGCAGAGGCAGGCAGATCCCTGTGAGTTCAAGGCCAACCTGGTCTACAGAGTGAGTTCCAGGACAGCCAGGGCTACACTGTGAAACACTGTCTCAAAAAACAAAGAATTTTATTATTAGTGCGTGCATGCATTTGTGCGCGCGTGTGTGTGTGTGTGTGTGTGTGTGTGTGTGTGTATGTGTGTGTGTATGTGTGTGTGTGAGAGAGAGAGAGAGCGCATGTGCACAAGGCAGCCAAGACATAGGAGCAGTGCACAAGCTTAACCACTGGGCCATCATCTTGCCCATCCTCTCAAAATTCTTTTATTATTATTTTGGTTTTCCCTAGGTAGCCCAGGCTAGCCTCAAACTCATGGTGATCCTCCTTCCTCAGCCCTCGATTCTGGCATTGCAGACCTAGTGTGCTACCAGGTTAGGTCTAAATGGAGAGGAAGGTTTGTTTTGCAGTATGAGGATTGAACCCAGGACCCCATGCATGCTAGGCAAACATTCTACACATTCTACGCCTGAGCCCCAGCCCCAGCCCCTCACAAGTCTTCATATACTACTAGAGGACACAAATTACTTATTATTCAGATGTACTTTTGTTTTGTGAGGCACAGTCTAAACATGTAGGTTTGGCTGGCCTGAAACTCATTATATAGACCAGGCTGGCCAAACTTTCAGTAATCCTCCTGCCTCTGCTTCTCAGTGCTGAGGTTGTTACAGACATTTGAGTATTCGTATGTACTTAAAATTACAAATTGCAAATTCTTTGAAGAGACATAACTAAAACCATGTAGGTTACTATATTCACACAAGCAAAAAAAACATGGCTTTTGATTTGCTAAATTTGGCCATCACTTAAAGGTAGCCGAGCGTAGGTCTGAATGCAAACACCTGTTATCGGAAGTAAATGCATCTGTATGTAAACATTGAATGGGCTGATTTCTGGTC